AGATTAAGGACACGTAAAAAGTATAACTGCGATTTACAGTTAAAGTTTTGATGGGTTTTTGGCTTTTGTGTAATTTTTCGAGAAATAATATGGTATCTGAGTAAAAAGTGTCTTATAAAAATGTTCAGCGGATTGAGGACTATCATCCAGACTACGCTGCTTTTCTGTTTGGTCACTCAAATTGTAAATATTTTAGTGCACAAGTTAATTAGTATTTTCTGACAACATGAGATTTTGAAAAAAGCAGGGAAAGAACTAATCAAATGACGCTGTGCAAGTGTGCAATATAGAGGTTTTGTAGAGCAGAAAATCTTTTATTTTCTGAAGTCAGAACGAATTCTTGGAATTATATGATATACAGACAAAAATAGGTACATCAATAACCTCAAAATCTTGGGACCAACTGTTGTTAGCTGTTGAATGTTAGGAAAAAATATTATTTTTCAATGGGAATTAATTAAATCAAGATGATTTCTTTACTCATAGTACCTGTGACAATTAGCTAACAGAAACAGTATTCAATAATCAATTACGTCGAATACAAAAAAAGATACAAGCTGTTCCATTCGCCGCAGTAATAGTTTTTACGTGTCCTTAATCTACACTATCTTTTTAGATAATAAAATAACATGTAATGAAAGAAGGTAATGGATTTTATAGAGCAGAAAATTCTCTATCGAATGAGCCTAAAATGGAGTCTTAACATCTCAGTTTAAGTACACGAAAATAAGGTGCAAAAGTGTGTCATTCTTTCTGGGCCACCCGTTAAAGGTTTATGACAGACGTTAGCGTTCATCCAGTAGTATGCTTGAGGCAAATTGCGTTTCACAGCACTTTCGTCACATGACGAAAGTTCTGTCTACAGTGACAAAAATTCTCTCAGCATGTGACAAAAGTTCTTGCGGCATGTGACGAAAGTTTAACCATGTTTGAATAGTGGTTACGAAAGTTAATCCGTTATGTGACGAAAGTCTGGCTTTTTAGATAGCATCGGCACTTTCGTCACACGTTGCATAATACAGCTGCGATGAAATCAAGGTGGTAGTGCAACTAAAGTAGTCCATACTGCAGTAATGTAAATAACTGAAGCAATGCAAACTGGAGTAATAACTTCTAGCTTTTTTCTTTACAAACATTGCATTTTCTTAGCGAACGCATAAAAAACCATTTTGAAGCCTTTTTCTAAAGTCAAAATATCAAAATCAAGCGTCAATTGCGTTTGGGAGTAGTTCGGTCTAGATTAGTCCAAATTGGATTAGTCACATGTAAGCAGTTCTATGCTATTAGTGTGACGACAGTTCATTTTGAGTTGTGACAAAAGTTCGCGATGGGGTGTGACGATAGTTGTAGGTATGTTACACATTTGGTTACAAAAGTTCACTATTATGGCCAAAGTGTGACGTGGTACTCCCCCAAAAATGCCATACACTTTCTTCACGTGTGCCGAAAATACTTTTTTTTATGTAGCAAAAAACAAATTGCCTCCAGAATAAAATGCCTTCCGACTCTTTAACAGAAGCTCTCATGCTACCCCTCTAAAAAAATCCATCCTTCAAGCAAAAATATACAGTACGTTCAAAAGTAGACACTGGGAACTATCCAGTTATGTGTAAATCTCAATATCGACTCTTTGATAACGAAACTATACTTTTTTGAGAGTTTTTAAAGTATCGATGGTTAATCTAAGGCTGTTTTGCCTGATAAATTCATTTATTTTATTCTAGTTGCAATGAATTATCAAAGTTATGATGAGTATATGGCTTTAAACTATGGTCGATTTTTAGATAATGGCGGTTGCGGTTATGTGCTGAAGCCTGACATTCTTACGACTCGTACGTATTACTAGGAACGATGTGCACAGAAATCTTACGTAACGGGATGATATGCAAGAATTCTTGCGCACGAAGTAATAACAGCGTCTCTCGCAGGAATTTTCAAGAATAAATGATTCCCAGACAATTCTGAGGAAGTGAAAACATTTTTTCGACTTTACTTTCACGTTAGTCTATAACAGATGCCTAGAACTACGTTTGCTGTGAAAATGAAATCCTTTTAGCAATGTTTAGTGCTCCAAACTTTGTTGGGAAAATAGTATGTCACAGCCTCACGACGATAAAACACAATTATTGAGGGATGCAAAGCTCATCGGAAAATTTTTTCTTTAGTAATCAATAGCTCGCTTATTCCTCTACAAACTTTGCTCCAGGCGCTTTTTATTAACTCTTCTAAATTCGCAGCAAATTGGCTTTTAATGAGAAGAACTTCGAATTTAGGGCCTTTTTTGTCACAGCGTCACGCGACGAAAAACGGTTCTAAAAGTTCGAATCTTTAACTAAATATCTTCATTTCTATATCGAAAGTAAATTATAGTGAACTACATCGAATGGCGCAAAAATGAAGCTTCCAGCTCTTACAGTTTTTGGGAAAGCTCAAATTACTGTGTCAAATATGTCACAGCGTCACGCTTGGACAAGCCGCCTATTTTAACTATTTTAACTATTTTGTGTTCACAAATCGTTTTCATGAACAACCGTCTCATGTATGATCATTTTGGATTGACTGCATAATGTACTGAACAGAATATTATTTACGATCGATTAATTAATCATTTGTTCACAATAATTAATTATACTGTTTAAGTTGTAGATAACAGTCAAATAATGCAAAATAGAAGAAATATCAACATGTAGACAAATGCTGATTAAATTTGGTTTTAAATAGGTATAATTAAACAAATTGATAATAATCTAGAGCATATCTTAAATAAACATTATTTTTCCTTCTCATTTAAATGAAATTTCAATAGTGCTCTCAATTTATTCTTGAAAATTACTGCGAGAGAAGTAGTCATTACTTCGTGCGCAAGAATGCGTGCATATAATCCTGATGCGTACGATTTCTGTGCGCAACATTGAACATGCACGTTCATCCGAAACCCCTAAACCCATAGTAATGACGAGGAAACCGTTTTTTTATTTGACACAGTTAATTCAGAATTTAATCCATTAGCATCAAATGATGTATCTAAGCAACGATTAACTCTTCGCATAATTAGTGCTCAATATTTATCGAGACGAACACCCACTAGAGATATTGTTGATCCATACGTTAAAGTTTTTACGTATGGAGTAAACAGTGATTGTCAAGAGGAAAAAACACGTGCTATAATCGATAATGGTGAGTTGACAGAGACTAAAAAAATAGTTCATTGTACAAATGATTTACTTTTAGGATTAAATCCAAGTTGGAATGAAACAATAGTGTTTGAAATCAGCGTGCCTGAATTATGCCTCGTACGATTTGTTATTTTTGATAGAGATATCGTTGGTTTTGACGATATTCTAGGCTCGTTTTGTTTACCTTTGACGACAATTCAAACAGGTACAAAGATCCTATTAACTTTCATTCTCATATAAAAATTAATCTTTTCAATTTCCCGTGTTAGGTTATCGTCACATTCATCTTCGTGCAATGGATGACAATCTGACGTACTCAACACTATTTGTTCATGTCGATGTACAACATTTGACAGACGACTCATCCTTTAGACTCTAACATGATTTTTCTGTCATAACTTTTAAATGAAATGGCATGAAAAAATGGGAGACATCTTATTTTGTACAGGACACTTTCCTCAAGTTGTTTATCTGAATTTTGAAAATTTACTGAAGAATGGGGAGAGAGACTCTCTTAAGGAAGACTGTATACATATGCAGCACAAAGAAATGTCAAACATCTAGAAAAAACGTGAACTACAATTTTTATGACTTTGTCTGAACGACAGTTCAATTTTACGCACAAAATTTTAGCTGACTTATGTACAGACTTTCCATACATGTTTCACAAAAATACGGAAAAATGACTCCATTTGCCTCTTCATTGTTCGGCGATAGGACAACTCTCTTCTGCTTAATGACTTTACTGCATTCGCCATGTCTAGTGATGAAAACCATGTTATTCAACCAGCTGATGCCCAAATTCCACTGAGACCCCAATTTTCAGGCCTCTGGCAGTGAGTGATTTCTGCTTATAACGCGTGCTACAAATTTATTTTATTTTGAATATTTATCATTCTTTAGTCTTTATCTAATATGTTTACACAAAAACAAACGTTTTCAAAAGGAAATTATGTTTTTCCTCGAAATGTTTCTGACCCCAAAGGCAAAAAATTTCGCTGTACTTAATCTGTGTTTGAAATTTATTTTGTTATACATTGTTCGATGCAATTCGATGAGCTGATTTCCAATATTAGCTTTTTTTTGCTTAAAACTTTTTGTGATTGAAAAAAATGGAGTTTATATGAAAAACTGTCGGATTTTTTAGAACCCTGTATTTCGATGTAGAGGGATAAGAACAGTAACTGCATGCTAATTGATGATAGAAAACAAGATGGGAAAAGTTGTAACTCAGTCAAAGAAGAAATAAAAGGGAATACTTACTAAATTGGAAGAATAATTTCTGAAAAGTTAAGTTAAAGAATAATTTTTCTCTTTGAGTTTGTCAGAAAAATTAATTTCTTTTCATAAATAAGTACCCGTATCACTGAAGCATAATCCGATTCAAAGTAATCCAACTCGTATTCAGGTTAGCTGGTGATTCATCGATTTTTTTCCGAAAGATCCTTCCGCGAATGCCTCTCCAGGAAATGTCTGTTCCGCGAACAGAACTCCGATTCTTCCGCAAGTTTTTGTGAATAGATGTTAAGAAAACTATCAAAACAACAGGTATTACTGACCATAGTCGGTAAAAGGTTTTAAATACGTTCAACTTGAAATACTGATATACCAGATAAATACCTGAAAAGCTGAAGCACATTCACACCATACCATACAAATAGCTTTTATGTGAAACCACTTTTCAAACTCACTCTCACATTGCCATCACCGCAGCACACTGCCAGAAATACCTAAATTTGTATTAAGAAAAATTTTGCGGAAGAGTCGTGTCACGTTAGCTAGTGTTCATGACATCATCTTCTTCGCTACCACTTGCTTGTGTAACACTACTGCCTGTAGCCTGTACGAACATTTTTTATTTTTTTGATGGCGTCGTCTACAATCATGTCCACGGTACCCGTGGCATCACACAAGCAAGTGATAGCGAAGAAGATGATGTCATGAATACTAGCAAACCATATGATTTCGATACATGAATGAAAAATGTTTCTGCTGCTTGTAGTTTTTCTTTTTTTAAGGTGAAATGACGGAAAAGTATGGGACAAAAGTCCAAGGAGTTACACGAAATTTAATTCCTAAGTAAACAAACTCCTCCAGGAAACACTTTTCGACGACACACTTGAAAAGCCGCAATGTTCGTTAAAGACCCTTTCTTTATAAGTGTTCAAATGTTATTTTATTGAAAACTCCATCTTGAAGCAATTTTCTAATCCAGCGCACCTTAGCAAGAAGCTTTAAGATGAAATATGCTTCTTGATACGGTAATTACTGATTAAGAAAATTTTACACATTCTCAATAAAATTTATCTTCATTGTTTTAAATGTAGAGATATTGACACTCGTATTAATATTGTACAAAATAACTGAGTTGTATTATTTTTGCATCGTTTTTTAACTTAAAAAGATTTCTAAAAATTATTCTTCCAATTTAGTGAGTATTCCCTTTTATTCCTTCTTTGACTGAGTTACAACTTTGGATTAACCGACGTTTGAGCGATCAACATTTGAGCGCCGACACTTGAGCGACCCCGACATTTGAGCGAGCGACTTTTGAGCGACACTCATCCTTACCCCAAACAGCCTCACCCTCCACAGATCTCCAAATAATTCAGTTCATAATCGGACGACAAAAAAATTGTTCTGATCATCGTTATTAATCACTATCGAAGTGAATAATCATTCGAATTTTCTGATCGGCAAAAAGTCATATTGAAAAGTGTCGAATGTCGGGGTCACTCAAACGTCGGTTGACGACAACTTTGCCTGTCTTGTTTTCTATCATCAATTAACATGCAGTTACTGCTCTTATCACTCTACCGGTTTATCTAGTGCATACAAACGTTGAAGAAGTAAGAACAAAATATCATGTAATTATAACTGATAGAGTTGTGTTTCAAGCATATTTATACCAATTTGTCAACCAAAGCTGTTAGTATTAAGGATGCAGCAGGCCAAAAGCAATCAAAAAGGGTTGGACCGAACTTGTGTCTCAACGATTCGTCGCTGGGCCGGGTTCCATGATTTGTAAGACTGATTGGGTCAAGGCGGATTTGAACCTCAAGCTTTCTTGGGCCGAGCTGGGCCCGATCAGGAATTTTCGGCCCGTGTCGATCTCTAAGACAAATCAATCTTTGGTTTTGAACGTTTTAATTTCATCCTTCTCACAAAGTCATTTCGGCCATACGTGTCTCCTTTTTAGCGTGTTATACGCATCTGTTTATTGCTGGAACATTTTGCATTCTCCAGAATGCTCCAAATTTTTTTAATCTCTTATTTTGTGTTTTTATTGTTTGGATTTTCACCCTACACTGCTTCTCGGTAAGGGTATATTTTCCTTCTGTCTATAGTTTTATCGCGAATGAGAATATAGTGTGTTCTTTGTATGTACATATTCAGTTTTCCTTTCTATTTATCAGTGGTTTTATTACACAGATATTTTTCATGGAGCAAGTCAGTGTTTTTATTTCTTACCTATATTTCTATATTTTTATCTGTTGCGTGTAGTCATCTGCGTTCATGCTTTCTTCAAACGTATTATCCACGCTCACTCCCTCGGGTACCCGCTGGAATGGGCATGGGTTTTTAAAATTTCTCTTGCGGGCATGGGCATGGATATCGCTGATGACCAGTTCAGTTCATATGAACTGGAGCTGGTGACCAGTTCAGTTCATATGAACTAGAGCTGATGACCAGTTCAGTTCATACGAACTGGAGCGGGTGACCAGTTCAGTTCATATAAACCGGAGGTGATGACCACTTCAGTTCATACGAGCTGGAGCTGGTGACTAGTTCAGTTCATATAAACCGGAGCTGATGACCAGTTCAGTTCAAACGAACTGGAGCTGATGACCAGTTCAGTTCATATAAACCGGAGCTGGTGACCAGTTCAGTTCATATGAACTGGAGCTGGTGACCAGTTCAGTTCATATGAACTAGAGCAGCTGACCAGTTCAATTCATATAAACGGGAGTAGTCCATAAATTTCTGATTAAAACGAGGCATCTCCCAGCTCTACACGATCTGTCTTTGCAAAGTTATAGAGTTTACAAGAAAAGCCCTAAATTCATTTTCGTTTTTCTTTCTGTAGCTCTGAGGTGACAATGAGCATTTAGGGCTTTTCTTGTAAACTCTATAACTTTGCAAAGACAGATCGTGTGGAGCTGGGAGATGCCTCGTTTTAATCAGAAAATTATGGACTACAATTACGCCTCATCAAGAAAGCTATTGGTTGTTGATGAGAGTTTCTCGAAAACTGGTTTTCCAGAAGACCAGTCTTTGAAGGCCTAGCAGTAGCATTCACGGTGATATTCGGAATCAGCATCGTCGACTTCCTATAGTCCACTCGGTTTCGTTGAAAAAGCGATTTATCAGTTGGGGTGCTTCCCTCATTAGATTTTCAAATAATTGTTTCTCTTCAGCGCAAAATTGAAAGATTAATACCTAGTAAATCGTGCAACTGCGATATTTCCCAGACATTTATCGATTTGTTTAAGCCTATGTTCATCAAATTTGATGCTAAAAGTAAAGTATTTAGTATAAACTGGTATAAACTACTTAATCACGCGCTCTGTAGAAGCAAACAAAGTGAAATACCTGTGATGAAAGATACTGCGGGAGCATGGATTTACGATGACTTTGCTAAAGCTGAAATCTTGAATGAACACTTTGCATCTATCTGTACTATGAGTGATAAAGACGCGTGCAGATTTATTCCTTCTGATACCCTTCCTCTTTCTTCTACTAAATTTGATATTACAGAAAAAATTTGTCCAGGAGAAGTATAAAGAATATTACGAAAATTAAATGCAAACAAGGCTTGTAGCTCAGAAGTTACTGGCAGAATGGTTAAAGAATCTAGTGACGTGATTAACGAGGCCTTAGCAGATATTTGTAATCAATCAATTAGTCAAGGAGAGTTTCCGTCTTCATTTAAAATAGGATGTATTACTCCGCTTTTCAAAGATGGCGAACGTTGGCAGCCGAATAATTATAGACCTGTTACTTTGCTGCATATATTTTCAAAACCTTTGGAAAGAGTAGTATTTTCTCGTCTATAAGTAGTATTATGAGTAGTATTTTCTCGTATAATTACTTGACTAAAAATAATCTGTTAACTTCATTACAATCTGGTTTTCGGCATCGTGATTCTACAGTCAATTAGTTAATTGATTTCGTTCATGCTGTGGAGTTAGGAATGGAAAATCATAAACTAACTAGAGCAATCTTTCTAGACTTTAAAAAAGCTTTTGATTCGGTCTGGCACTCTGGCTTACTCTACAAGCTAAAACAAAAAGGTGTATCATCTAATATGTTAAAGTGGTTTTCTTCATATCTTTCTGATAGGTTTATAGAAACACGAGTGAACGGTACCACTTCCTC